TCTGAGTCCCTGCGGCCAGGATGCAGCTTCTCCAGCTGATGTTGGGCAGGGGCTGGGGTCTCCGGGCCCCTCACCCATGAGGTATCCCACGTGCATGGTCTCCCCGAAGAGCAGCTGGTGCTCAGCGTAGCAGATGTAGTGGTCCTGCACGGGCAGCTTCTCTATGTGTATGCGCGTGTGGTTCCAAACTAGATGAGAGAGAAAAGTGCTCTTCAGCGGCTTCCCTCCCTGAGGAGGCACTGGAGACCATGTTAGGGAACGGTTGGGATGTGTCCAGTGTCACCCAGTGCCCTGCCAGCCTGAGGCCAGGCCTTGCTGTGTCCCTGTCGCTGGGCAGGAGCCCTCTCTCTCCCTGAAGGAGCCAGCCCAGCTGTGGATTCCAGATGTGCAGGCCAGGGACATGGAGGCTGGAGCTCGGCCCCACCCCAAGGAGCTGCCCCACCTGCTTCCCGGGTCCCAAGCCCTCAGTTTCCCCATGGGTCAACAGGGCCAGACGGAGGCGCAGCCTGGTCACTCCAAGCTCTGGACAGGGCTGCGACGCCCGGTGTCTGGTGTCAGGGACACAAGACCACAAGCAAGCCGAGGCTGTGTTCTCAGGAGGAGACACGAGGGCCTCAGGCACAGCGGGCAGGACTCACACGTGAACTCGCTGGGCTCCTCCGTTTTCTGGAAGCGCAGGCTGTTCTTGTAGCAGCCACCCCTCCACCTGGATGTCAGGAGGGCAGGGATAGCTGGTCTCAGCCACATCTGAGAAGCTTAGCTACCTGGGGCATCAGCTCCCACCAAGTGACCCCAAAAATCCTGTTCCACCCTGCCCCAGGTGTAGGACGCTGCCTTGGACTGTGTCCCCTCAAACTCAGGGGGCTTTTGTCACCAACATCCAAACTGTGAGTGGGAGAGGAGGAGAGCGAGAGACCGAGGGGCCTCGCTGGGCCACACTCACGTGAAGGTGACCTTGGTCTCGAAGTTCACACCTCCCTGGGCCGTCACCGTCAGGGGGAACGCCTGCCTGGGGGTCTGTGTCAGGTTCCGGTTGGCTACGACGGCCTTCATGAACCAGGTCCCTGTGATCTGGAGCAGGAGCAGACAAGCCCTGAGCCCAGCACAGCCCAGACGCCCCACCCTGACGCCTGGGGACAGGCCCTGCAGGCTTGACAGCCTCTACTGGAGCCTGGGTGCACCCCCAGAGCCCGGCTGGGTACCCACATGCCCCCCCTACTCAGTAAAGCACACACAGAGATTCCTGGTCCCCCATGGGCCCACTGTTCTCAGGCCCCAAGTCCGTGTAAGTCCTTGTCCCTGAGGGTCCTGTCCTCTGGGGTCTTCTGATTCTTGGTGTCACTTCCACTGGACCCCGGACCCAAACCCGCTCCCTGCTCCAGGTGTGGCCCAAGAGGGGCCATGTCTGCTGAACACCTAATCTGTGATCACTCCAGGCCAGGAGTGCAGGGTTAGATCCTGGCCTTACGTGTCCCCCCAAACAGCCCCGGTCACTGCCCCCGCCCGGCCTCACATCTGGCTCCTCTGGCTGGAGCGGCAGGGGGTCCTGGGCCTGCAGGGCGGCTGCCAGGCCGAGGAACACGAGGGTCAGGAGCAAGGTCTTCATCCCAGTGTTGTGCTCGCTGCCGAGCTGGTCTCCTGGAGTCTGACGAGGCTGTGTCGGCTCCTCTCCGGACGCCCTTTATGTCCCCTGCAGCCAGGGCCAGTGCGCACTGGCACTGACCACGCCCCTCCCGCCCGTCCCTCACGCCAAGTCCACATCCATCACGGAGTGCGGTGCTGTTATTGTTGGGATCCCATGAATAACAACTTAATGCCACTGGACACAAAGACCGCAGTGCCGGCCAGTGTCTGCCCACCCCGGGGTCCTGCCCACTGCCCAGCCCACCCAGACGGGCCGCAGCGTCAGTGCCTGGGCAGAGGTCAAGTGTGCACTGCCCTCCCTCGCCTGGGAAGCCCACCCTGGCACATCCTGGGGCGGGGGCTCTTGCCGTCACCTCCTCCACTGTGCCCCCCCCCCCGCTTGCCCATGTCGCTCCCCCAGAGGCAGCGCACTCTCTTTAGAGCCTTCTCACGAGGGTGTCTGCCCAGTTTTTCTCTCTGCGCCCTTGCTGTCTTCTCTCCAAGTTCCTGAGAGCAGGGCACTGAGTCCCGAGTTCCCTGAGGTCTGCAGCTCCGTCCCAGTCCCAGCTGCAGGAAGCACACTGGCCCCGTGTCAGGGGTCAGGGATATTGGTCTGGGGATGGAGCAGCCCGGTGACTTAACCTCTGGGGGTGCAGTTGTCCATCTCCAGCAGGGATGTGCACTTCTGTCACTGATCATCTGGGGGCCTGCTGGGGACACATGGAGCCCTGGCATCCCAGGACCACTGGGGGTCCCCAGACATTGGTCCCGTCCTCCTCTCCCAGGCTGGGATCCAGGACGAGGGGCCACCACAGCCTGTCGTGAACCCACCCCTGCACTGCTCCCTTAATGTCATCCCATGAGGCCCCAGAGCCTTTCCCCTTCCTCATCAGCTTTGACTCCACGGGTTCCCAAGACAGGTGGGAGCCTCACTCACTGGATAAACAGGCCAAGGGCAGAGGCAGCCACGTGTCTGCCTGGGTTAGCACTTGTGGCCAGGCTCCCTGGGTGCCCCTCTCCTAACCTGAGCCCCAGTGCCACCTGAGCAAGACCTCTTCTTGCAGGTGCTAGAGCCTCAATAGCACCCTGTGCTCCATGCAGAGACAGGCCGGCCCCAGGCACTTGCTGGACAGTGCTAACAAGCTCGTGCTCTCTAGACGCCTGGTGTCCGAGGGTGCCGCAGGACCAGGGCTGTGCAGGGGTGGAAGGCACTCTGAGCAGGAAGCTGCTGTCCCAGGGGTGGATTCAATTTTAAAATCAATCGTATAAATAAGTTAAAAAGAAAATCACATGTTCCCATCAATCTATGCAGAAAAGCCATTTGACAAAATGCAACACCATTTTGGATAACAACTCTAAGAAAAGAAAGAATAGAGGGGAAATCTCTTATATTGATAAAGAAGAGCTACAAAAAGCCTACAGCCAACCTCTTTATTATTAATGGTGAAAGACTGAATGTTCTCCTCTCTAATACCTTAAGTAAGGAAAGGATGTCCACTCACACCTCTTGTGTTTACTGTAGTACAGAAAGATCCATTCAATACATTTATGGTGAAAGAAAGAAAGAAAGAAAGAAAGAAAGAAAGAAAGAAAGAAAGAAAGAAAGAAAAAAAGGAATGACTAATGTACAGACTAGGGAAAAAGAAATAAAACTTTCTTTGTTTACAGATGACATGGTTATCTGTGTAGAAAATCCCAAGGAATCTAAAACTAAGACTAAAAAAGAAAAAAAGTGACAACTGAGCTCGGCAAGGTAGTAGGATGCAAGATAAATATACAAAGATCAACTGTGTGTACACATTCTAAAAATGAACTCTCAATCATAAACATAACACCATCTACACACCCTTCATTGCCTGCTTGGTGAGAATGGAGCTGGATCCAGTGGGCATTTATCCTCTGCACATGGCATGATGCTAAGTTTTTGGTAGAGGCTCGGTAGGATGGGACTTTGTCCCTCCTTCAGGAAGTTTCCGTTCCCCACCCCGAGCTAAACCAGGGAAGTGGCACAGGAGGGGACTATGTGGCACTCGTTCACACTGACCTCAGTGGGCCCCAGGGAGAGCTTCCTAGCGAGATTCAGGGCACCTCACAAGTAGATTTCAAGGAAGTGTGGGACTTTCCAGCCCCAGGACACCTGCCAGTGGGAGGGCAGAGAGACTTCCTGTTTGCCTGGCCGGCTGGCTTTTCCCTGGCTGCTGCCCCTGACGAATGACCAATGCTGGCCCCAGCAAAGGTCCCTCATGCCTGGACTGAAACCGCACCTTCTCCCACGAGGCCTGAGCCAGCCTGTGGAAGGGACCCTCCCCCCATGACCCCTTCTTCATTAGCTCTCCTGTGACCCTGAGAGCTGTTCTTTACAGTTCTCCGTACACACGCTTTGTTCATTGTTCATCAGACAAACTCTCCCTGTTCAGTGCATTGCGTGGTTCCGTCTCCTGACTGATCGCTGATTCACATAATTATATATCATTTTTAAAGGCGATAAGAGCTGTGGGGGGGAAGCAAATGGAACAAGTCGGGCAGGGGCTGTGGGACAAGGGGGTGTTTGTGTTCTAGGAGGAACGGCGCAGGTCAGCCTCACCAGTGTGGCGTTTGAGCAGAGAACCGAAGGAGGAAATGAGGCGAGGAGGACCAGGTGGGAGCAGCGTCCAGGGGGATGGACAGCGAGTGCTGGCCTGGAGGGGGACGGGGCCCTGGCACGTGCCAGGAACACAGAGGGAGAATGGGCAAAGATGGGCACAGAGAGGGCAGAACCCACTGTGGGGCTGAGGGTATTACAAGGAGCCCAGCTTCTCCTCTGAGGGAAATGGGGCACCCGGGCAGCCTTGACGGATTGGGGATATGACGTTTTGAAAGCCCTGGTGGCTGCACTGAGGACAGATTCCGGGGCAAATACAAAAGCAGAGGAACAGCCGGGGAGACACTGCAGCAGTCCAGCTCAGAACGACGGTGCCCACGACATCCGCTCAGGTGCTGGGAGTGACAGGGCTGAAGGGTGGATTGTCCACCGTGGACAAAGGGAAAGCGGTCAGAACCCGTGGTGGGCTGTGTGTGGACACCGACCCCAGTGCAGGCTCAGCTGCGAGCCCTGAGTGAGGGGAGAAGCCAGCCGTCACCACGGCCGCTCGAAGCCAGCGGGACCCAGCAGAGGGACTCACAGGGCAGGGCGGCCTTGCCAGGGGCGCAGATCTCAGAGGGCCGGGGGGCAGCAACGGTGACCAGAATGTGACACAGAGACCCACGCGGGGCAGCACATGGAAGAGCCCTGGAGATGCGCAGAGGTCCTGAGCGCCCTGAGGTGCCAGCCCTGTGGGGCAGGTGGGGTCTACAGCGCTGCCAGGAGCAACCCAGGAACCGCAAGGAAACCGCAGCCGGCAACAGGGCGGGAACCAGTGAGCGGCGGCGATGCAGAAGGCACAGGACAGGCTCCTCAACAAGTGGCCTGGGACGGCGGAGCTCACCTGTGAAAGCGGGGCCAGACTCACGCCACCACGGGCAAAGTGGATCCAACCTCAATGTGGGCCCTGACAGTGGGAAACTTAGAGGATCTGTATCTCTGTGACCTTGGCCTGGATGCTGAATAATCATATCCAACACCCAAAGATCAAGAGGCCAAAGGAAAAATAAATGAATTAGACCTCATCAAAATTCAGGGTTAGATTTAGGATTTGGATTAGGGTGCATATCTATAATCTTAGTACTCAGGAGGCTGAGGCAGCAGGATAGTAAGTTTGAACTCAGCCTGGGAAATTTAGCAACTTAGTGAGACTCCATCTCAAACTAAACAACAAAAAGGGACTGGGGATGTAATTTATTGTGAAATTCTTGGGTTCAATACCCAAAACTGCAAAAATAAATAAACCACTTGTATACATCAAATGGCTTTGTCAAGAAAGTGAACTGATAAGATATACAATGTGAGAAGATTCCTGAAACCGTGCGTCTGATCTGGGTCCAGTGTCAAGAGTACTTGAGAATAAGACACAGCTCGGTGATGTCAAACCGCCCCTTAAACACAGGCAGTTGGATTTGACAGGCTCTCCTGCAGGTGAGGTCCGCGATAACCATCAGGACAGGAGAAGAGGCCCAGCATCTTTAGTAACTAGGGACCCGCAGATCAAAGCCACAGGAATGCGACTCCACCCCGCTGGATGCCAGAATCAAGTCAGACACTGGAGGTGGGAACATAGTGCTGGTAAACTCACAGCGCTGTACAAGCCGGCAAGTCCACCCCCAGAGCACACCCACGAGAAACGAAGACACGCCACCACGAAATCTGTACCTGAATTTCATGGCAATGCAGTAACCACAACTAGGAACTTTTGAGACATCCCTCGAGGGATGAGCAGGCATCATCCACGTCGCAGGACCTGACTCCGCCTGCCTTTGTGACGATTTGGGGGAACGTGACATGCTGTGTAAGCAAAGAAGCCACTCCCGAAGACCACACATTGAGTGACTCCGTTATGTGGTGTGACTGTGGAGAAGGAGCAGGTTGGGGACTGGCAGGGCCCAGCGAGGGAAGGATGGGGGTGAGCACCCGCTTCTGTGCTGGACCAGGGCGCTCCGGATGGGGTCCTGGCGATGGTTTGGTGGTGCTGGTTATGGCGTCGAGTGAGGAGATGAGAGGGGCCGGGCACAGGCTCTCCTACAGGCTGGTGACGGGAGGCCGGGTCCCCTAGGGTGGGAGGCAGGGCTCCCCGCAGCACAGCGGACACTGCTGCCCCTGATGGCCAGCACTTGCACTGCACCCTGGCAGGAAACCTGATCCCTGGGCTGGGTGCGGTGTCCCCAAGGCCCAGGGAGCAGAGGAGCCAGCGCTGTGTGATGAATGACTTCAGTGTCCCTTGTCCCCTTTTCCCTCTGCTGCCCGCAGGGTTCCTGGTTCACCCCAGAGGCCTCCAGGCCCCAGCCCACGTCTACGTGAGGACCCCATGTCTCAACAGGACAGTTTCGTCCCTGGACCTAGGACGAGTGGCCCAGGGCTCTCCCAAGGGCCCATTCCCCGGGATGCTCTTCTCAGCTGGTCGGAGCTGTCCCTGACCTGGACAGGGGCTCCTGTGTGGACAGTGCCTCTGCCTGTCGTGAGAGCCCGAGCGAGACACCCCAGCGGTGGCAGGGGGACCCAGTGTCCCCGGCGGTGGGGGAGGGGCGCACTGCAGCCACTGAAAATGACAGCGCCCCCATAATGACAAACCCTACAGGACTCCACTCTCTGAGGTCCCCAGAGAAGTCGGCTTCTCAGAACCGCAAGGAGAACAGGATTTTCTGGGGCCCGGCAGGGGCCGGGGCCAGGGTTTCATGGGCACAGAGAGTTAGAGGGGAGGAAGCCCTGAGACGGTGGCGGGAGCCGCACCGTGGCGTGAATGTGCGTAATGCTACTGGGCCGTGCGCTAGAGATGGCGACAGTGACACACGTCATGATCCGCACAGTTTGCCACAATTGCACACCAAGGAACCGCGCAGCTCTCCTCTCAGCGCGTGTGGCTGTAAGGGACGCCGGCGACTGAGTAACTCACACCAAGCAGAAATGTGCTTCTCACCCTTCCAAAGTCCAAGATCCTTCAGCAGGAACGGCCCCCGAGGCCGCCCCCTGACAGGTTTCCCTGAGGGGCACTTCAGGAGCACGGAAGTCACCACCCAGAAAGCAACGGGGTGGAGTGACCGGCACAGAGCTGCGCCCCAGAGCACCCTGCTCCTTCAGACCTCATGGATGTCCCACCTCTCCACCTTGGGTGAGACGGCAGAGGACCTGGGGGCACGGAGGAGCGAGGGCTCCCTCCCTGCCCCACTGCTGCTCCGGATGCAGCTTCTCAAGCCTCTTCCGGGGGTCTGCGCACTGCCCGCCCCACCCAGCACAGGCCCGAGGGGCTGCTTCAGAGTGAGACCCCAGGTCCGAAGTTCGGGACTCAAACGGGATCCCCGGGAAACAGGCCTAGGAGCCCTTGGGATGGCAGAGTCCACGAACGCTCAGGTCCCAGGTATAAAATCCACCACACTTGTGAATCACATAACCTGCGTGTGACCTCCCTGTGCGCAAAGCACCTCTGGGTTTCCCAGGACACCCAACACCGTGGTACGTTCTGCGGCACTGCTGGGAAATAGCAACAAGACAATGGTCTGTTCAGCTGAGTGCAGACAGCTTTTGCTGGATGTTTTGATTAGGGGAACTGTGGACGAAGAAACCGCGGAGGCAGAGGCTGACGGCCCCGCACAGGTGGCACTGAGCGCGTGGCACTGACAGGAGCAGAGTCACGGCCCAGCAGGAGGTGATGGAGCCAGTGGGCTTCCAGTCAAGGCCCGGTGCTTGTGGCCATGGCTGGAAGACTTTCTGGGAGGGAGCCCAAGGCCCCTTCGGCCTGCGAGGGCATCCAACGTGACGGCTTCCGGGGGCAGGGCCGGAAGTAAGCACGGTGCTCAGAGTGAGCGGTCCGGGCTGCCACGATGGTTGTAGAGGTCAGAAGGGCAGGGCAGGTCCGAGCACACTCAGAGTCTCACGGGGACCTTGGCCTCTTGGCCATGAGCAGCAACCCACCAGGATGGGGTCAGAGGAGAGGGTGTCCAGGTGGCCTCCGCAGGGGGAGCTGGCGTGCTGGGTTGAATAGGGTCCCCCTAGACTTCATGCCCCCAACCTGTGGGCATGACCTTGTGTGGAAACAGTGTGCCCAGAGGTGGTCAAGCTCAGAGGGGTCCTGTGCTGGAGGAGGGGGAAACTGGCCCCTGGTCCAATGACCGGGGTCTCCCAGGAAGAGGGACACCTGGACACAGATGGGAGATTCATGTGGGAGCAGGTGCATGGCTAGGGGAGCAGAGGCTGGGGCCCCAGGCATGGAGCATGGGCGCCGGCAGTGCCAGCAGTGGGGGGGCTCTCTTGTCTCTGGCTGCCCAGTTTGGGGGCCTTGTGGAGCCCACGACCCTCCTGCTAGCTGAGCGGGGGGTGCTCAGGCCTAACCAGTCTGACCAGCTGGACACTTGCTCTGGTCCCACACCTGTGGCTGGCAGCTCCCCCAGCTCTTTCCTGCTGCCAGGCTTCTCATCTGGCTAAAGGAAGAAAGACTCCCCAGGTATATGGAGTCCAGGCCTCCAGCCCCAAACAGTGACTTGGGCCTTTGAACATTTTCCCTGTGCCCAGCCCATGCCCATGCCAGCATCTCTAGGACGCCCTCACTCTTGTAGCTCTCACACCATGGCCTTGGGCCACCTGGGCCACTGGACACAACTGGACCCTCCCTGTTAGGGACCACTACAAAGTGGCTCTGAGCAGGATTTAGTATTAACCAACTTGTGAGTTGTCCGAAGCTTAGGCACCTTGTCTAAAGATGGGCAGTGGACTCATAGTAAATAAATCTCTATGGGTCACTGGTCACCACTGAGGTCTGTACTGGCCTGTGAAGCTGTGATGCCTCAAGGACAAGGAGATGCAGCTTTGACGATGTTTGGCTCCAACCCCAATTAACTACAAGGAGACTGCAGCTGCAGGCTCCACACTCCTACAATAAATACCAACCTAAAGATAAGGTAGTTCTCCTGATTGACATAATTTACTACTTGGAAAAATTCTCCCAAGGTTCTGTGTGATTCCCGCGTTTTCTTGAGTATCCTCCTCCTTTGTTTGAAAACCAAATAAATATGGGCTGCCCAGAGCAGTCTTTGGCTAACTCAGAGAATACTGAGTTAGCTGTAAGAGAGTTAGTCGCCCTGGGGCCTAAAATCATTGCCATTGTCACCTTCATTTAAGCCTTCGCTGTCCACTCGCTTGGGAGATTGCAGGCCTGATCAGCCTGTAATAATTTAGGGTTATTTAGCCCGGTTTCTGATAATCTCCAGGACGCCCTCACTCTTGTAGCTCTCACGCCATGGCCTTGGGCGGTAATCAGACCCCCTGTGCTGCCCTTCCCCTCTCGACCTCGACCTCCAGGGCCAACCGAGTGAGCACACTGGAAGACAGATCTCAGGCAGCTGGCCTTTGTGGTCAGGACCCTGGCCAGCCCCTCCTCCATCTGCTGGCTAGCACGGTAGCTCTGCTCTGGCAGGGAGTGCACGGGGTGTGGGCACAGGCATGCATGTGCGTGTGTGAGTGTGCACGTGAGTGTACAGCTGGTGTGCATGTGTGTGCACCCTACGTGCACTGTGCACTGTAGCACAGGTACTTTGTGGTGACTGTGTGCACTTGTGTGCGTGTACCCAAGATGAGGTGTGTGTGCAGGTGTGTGTGTACACGTTTGAGAGTTCATGTGCAGAGTCTGACCTTGCATATGTGTGTCGCTGTGCAAGTGGGTGTCCCCTCTCCTTCCTCCCCACTGTCCCTGGCAAGGTTAAGGTGGAGATGGCAGCTTCCCTGGGCTGCTAGCCCCCAAGGGGACAGGAAGCCTGAGGCCTCAGGACCGGGTGGCCACACCCAACCCAAGGACCCGGGCTGGGTGGAGGTTGGAGCTGGAGGCTGCTTATCTGGGCACAGGGCAGTGCTCTGTGGCTGTGCTGGTCCTCGGCTCCGTGGCCCTCAGCCATCGGGTGTGAAGGGCCCTACTAGAGGAAGGGACGGGACCTCCGGAGCTCCTCCCCACAGCCCACCGTGGCCATGGAGCCTGGAAGGGGTGGTCAGGGCTCCCATCACCCAGACGTCCCGGATCCGTCCCTGGAGGGTGGGGGATGTGCCTGGCTCGAGGGTTTCACTTCCCTTCATCAGCTCAGAAGCATGTGGGCATCTTCCTGCTCTGCTGTGGCTGCCCAGGCGCAGAGGGCTGGTGATCAGGCTGCTCATACTGGGCACTACTTGTGCCCCAGAGTAATTATCAACCACTGGGAGAAGGCATGGTGTTATGCCTGATACACTGTGTCAACTTGAGAAGTCTAGACATTAACAAAGGGACTCAGCAGAGAGCCAGGGCCCTCACTCTGTAAACATCCTCATCCTGTGCAAGAGGAGGACATGGGTGTAGGGTGAGTGCTCACCTGCCCCTAGGGGGTGGTAACCTGCTTACAATATAAGGGAGGAAAAGAGGCTTGCTCCCTCCTTTTACTCTTGTGGCTTTTGCTGTCTTCTGCTGCCTTGACCCTGTGCCACGCCACCCTGCCTCGGACCCAGCTGATTATGGACCGAAATCTCCACAAACTGTGAGCTAAATTAACCTTTCTTTCCTTAATTTTGGGTGTTCTGTCTCAGCGACGAGAGAAGAGTAACCAAGACAGAATTTGGTACCACAGAAGTGGGGTTGTTGCTGTGACTGTACCTGACCTTGTGGTTCAGAAGCCTTTGGGAATGGCTTGTGTGAAGAGTTTGGAAAGGTTCAGAGATGTCGCCTGAAAGAGTAGAGCTGGAACACCTTAGGCTGTTCTGTATGGGAGATCCTGGTCAGAGCTCATAAGAGCAGAAGGCTGAAAGAAATCCTGCCGGTAAAGACCAGGCTGGGGAGGTTTCTGCTGGGAAGGACTGCATTGGGTGCCGGACTCCAGATAATGTGTATTATGACTTGGCAGAAAGTTTGTCTGCACTTTGCTCGTGTCCAGAGACTTTGCCTGAGACTGAGTTTAAGGGTGGTAGAGTAATTAATCTGGCAGAAGAAATTTCAAGGTAGTCAAATGTTGAGGCGGTGGTATGGCTATTATTGGGGGCTTTTAGCCAGATTTATGTCGAGAATCAAGAGCAAAGAGCCAGAAGGATAATATAAAATGTTGTGAGTTTGGCCAGGAAAAAAGCTCCAGTAAAGCTGTGGACTGCAAAGATAGAGCTGAGATCTTGATTGCTGAGAAGGAACAGGAGAATAGAAAAGGTGGCCTGAGGGCATCATAAGAAGTAGCAGTATCCTACCCTTTGCAGCCTCAAAATTGCAAAAGTGAAAGACTTTGCTTTGAGGAGAAGGCCGCAGAACACCATGTTCCAGAGCTGCAGCAGCTGCACCACATTCCAGAATGGCGGCGGCATAGAGAATTTGTTCCTCAGAATTGGATGTAGAGTTCTCAGTGATTTAGGCACTTGTCTCCTACAGCTAAGAGAGAGGAAAGCCTGGCTACTGCTCCAGCTGCCAGCAGACCTTGGCATTATCCACATGGCATGGTGTGTTTTAGGTGCATGCAGAATGCAAGAGTTATATGGTTACAAAGGCTTCCACTTTGATTTCAGAAGGCCTGGGAGGCCAGGCAGTGTGCCCCTGAGATGGCAGTGTGTGAAGCTGTGAGAAGCCAAAGGTGCAGTGGAGACCTCAGAAGTTTGGAGAGACCAGGAACGTGGATTGTTTAAGGAAACCTGTGAGAAGGGAACAAAGCGGGCCTAAGAGAAGCTGTGGGAGCTGTAACCACCAGAAGTGCCGCAGGGGTGGAGCCATTCAAGCCCTTTGGAGCTCACAATGTGCCACAGATTGCCTGAGATGATGGATATGGAACTACAGGACTTAATATCTGCCCTGCTGGATTTTGGATTTGCTTTGGTCCCAATGCTCTGTATCCCCCTTTGTAACTTTTGGAATGAAAATGTTTATTTTGTGCCATTCAATGCTGGAAGTGTGGAAGTTTTTGTTTGTACAGGGGCTTGCAACTAAGAGTTTGCCTTACATCTGGCAGGAGACTTGGGACTTAGACTGTTTAGCAATGCTGAAACTGTCTTAGGACTTCGGCAACTCTTGCAGATGGACTAAATGCCTTTTGCGTAAAGGGATGTGCGTGAGTCTTTGGGGCGGGGGCAGGGGCAGAATGTTATGGTTCTAATGTAAGATAATGTTGATAGACCTAATACTGGTTCTTAAGGATTGTGAAACGTTATAATGTTCAAGTTGTGAAATGTTAAGAATAATCTTTGTATGGGGAAACCAGTTTAAAGGAAGGTGTCTGGTTGCCAAGTGGACAAGGGGTGGATTGTGCTGGGTGATACACTGTGTCAACCTGAGGAGTCTAGAGGCTTAACTAAGAGACTCAGCAGGGGCCAGGGTCCTCACTTGTAAACATCCTCAGCCTGTGCAGGAGGAGGGCACAGAGATGGTGAGTGCTACACCCACCCTGTGAGGCGGGATGGCCTGCTTACAATATAAGGGAGGAAAAGTGGCCTGCTCCTCCTTTTGCTCTTGTTGCTTTTGTTGTCCTCTGTGCCTTGGACTGTTGCCCCTGTGCCATGTCACCCAGCTGGCTGCAGACTGAAACTTCCACAAACTGTGAGCTAAATAAACCTGCCCTTCCTTAATTTTGGGTGTCGGGTATTTTGTCTCAGCAAGGAGAGAAAAGGAACCAAGACACATGGAAACAAGGGGAAAACCCGGCAGACGCCCACTAGAGGACAGGCGTCGTCCTGCGCTTCCTGACAGGGCTGTGACAAGGACACACAGCCACCCAGCACGATGCTCCTGTTGGAAACTCAAGTGAATGTATTCACCAGCAAAGCACCCGGACAGGGGCCGGCGGGACTCAGGCCAGGCCACTCCCTTCCTCAGTGGAGAGAGGCGAGCTCGCCACATCCTGCGCAAGCCCACGCCAGGCCGGCTCGCTGGGGGACGCGTTCAGTCGAACCATGACAGAACTGTGTCCTGCCCAGCGAGGCTCCAGAGGAAGATTCTCGCGGACTGCCTGTCCCAGATAACTTGCCTGGGTCTGAGAACAGGCTCAGAGGGTTTAATGGAACACAGGGCGGCCTGCGCCACACAACCTCAAATTCACTGCGCACCACCCAGGTGCTGTTCAGCCAGAGGAAGAAACTCGGGGCGCCCTGGACAACGCGTGACCTGACAGGACCCACACCGAAAGGGGCCAGACCCCTACCCACTGGCCGTTCCATGTCAGAGCCCCTAGACAGCAGAGGTTAACTTGCAGTCCACGGCTCCTGGGCGGGGTGGTGGGGCTGAACGTGGGGGCTGTCCCCACACTTCCTTGGGGGCAGGGAGGTGCCTGGTCGAGATTTCCTTGGTTCCCTGCGTCACAGCGCATTGCACCATCGCCCGACAGCACACGCGATGGTTTGTCAGTGTAGCGCAGCCACCAGAGATCTGGAACGCAGGTTGGGTTGTGGCAGGGCAGCGCCCTGGGAAAGCCCGGAGGATCCTGAGGAGAGGGGCCTAGGCGCCTCGTGGCCTCGGGGAGGCTGCCCACCAGGTTGCACAGGAAGTGAGGCCAACGTCACTGGAGACAGGATGGGTGGGAAGATGGCTGTGCGGCAGGGAGCTCTATTCCCCTGGTGCCCGAGGCTGTGTGCCAGGTACAGAGTGGACCAGAGAGTGCAGTGCTGCCCGCAGAGGTTTCCAGCTGTGTGCTGAAGGAGCTGCCTAGTTCCTGCAGTTTCCAGTAAAACCTGACCAGAGAAGCCTGTCCTGGCAACCAGGAAGGCTGAGGCAGGGGGAGGCCAGTTTCAGCCCAGCCCGACAATTGAGAGACTCGGTGAGACCCTGTCTCAAAATAAGAAATAGAAAAGGCCGTTTTCCTCTCACCCTGGTCTCATCAAAGCTGTTGCCTCTCCTGAGATGATCTGGCCTCGGCCCCACTGTCACCTGCAGGTCTCAGCCCCTCGTCCCTCCTACGAGCAGCTCTCCCCAGCCCTGTGCCAGGCGGAAAGAGCGTGGCATGTGGTTGCTGCCCACGTGGCTCCCGGGCCGCCCTTGGGGTCTGTGACTGCGTGTCCAGCTAGGTGGCTGACCAGGCACCAGACCGGGGGCCGAGTCTGCTTGCTGCACTCAGACTCTGTACCCAGCATCTTGCCTGGCACCTGGTGTGTGGTGCACGGGGGCCTATGAGTCTCGGGGACCGGCGAGCGTCGGCTTCCGGAGAAGGTGCGATGTCTGGGGCCGTGGGTGGTGGCACGGAGCAGACACTTGGCAAGGCTCATGCTGGACGGGGTCCGTTCCGCAGACTGGCCTCCCTCCACTCCGTGCTCAGAGCCACAGCCGCCTCCACTGTGCACAGCCTGCAGTCACCAAGCGCCTCCACAAGCCACCGCGGGGAACGACGTGCCATCAGCAGCAACACCTGGGGACCTGGGCGGCCACAAGTCCCAGGAAGAGCAGGGGGATGAGGTCACGGCAGGAGGGTGTGTGCGCAGGAGGCTGGGGGAACAGAGGCCGTGAGAGGTTGGCCGCCTGAGCACCCGCGTCCCCGCTTCCACCTGGTCCTTGCACACTGCAGGGGATCAAGCTTGGCAGCTGGAGCCTTTGTCCCCAGAGCCACCTCTCACTATGCCCAGGGGGCAGGGCCATCCAGGGCCTGGGGGCTGCAGGTCTGGGACACATACCCGGTGCCCGTGGACTGGCTTCAGAGTTGGAGGCCCACACGGACCCCTCTGTACCTCCCGCCCTCGTGGCCTGGTCCAGCGGGATGGCAGGCCCGGGACCTTGAGGGGCGGAGGCAGCCTTACCGTCTTTGGGGAGCACGGCCGCCTCCCTGCTGAGCTGCAGTGCGGCGCTGGTGTCCATGAACTCTCTCAGGTTCAGGAAGCTGGGGATGTGCTGTCTGTCTGCAGTGTGCCAGGTCACAGCAGAGTCACCCTCCTGGCATCGGGGCTGCACCCTGACTCCACCCAGACCTGCTACTGCCATCCCGGCCCTGGGCCATTTCCAAGGCGTGAGGCTTGGGACCCAGGTTGCGGTGCCAGGCAAGCACTTGGGAGGCCCCTCCACTGGCCTGGTCCCTCTGAATCCTCGGGGCCTGTGCCCGGCTGCTGTGTCCTGAATGTGCCCACCCGGGCACAGGGACAGAGACCAGACCCCCTCTGCCCTCTTACAGGGCTGCCCTGGCCACTGCATCCTAAGCTTGGGGCCAGAAGTGGGTTTGGTTACTTCCTCACACCTGCCTGTCCAGGAAGGACCCCTGCCACGCCTCCTCCTCATCCCTGTCCTGTCCCACTGCCACCTCCTGGCTTCTGTCATCCAGGACGGGAACCTATGTTTCCCGGTCCAGCATCATGCTGGGCAGCCAGCGTCCACACAGAGCGCAGCCCACACTGCAGTCCCAGGTCCTGGCCGGCCTCTGGTCACCCCTGCCGTGGCTGCCCCTGGCCCCCACCCTGTGGTCTCGACTTCCCTTTCCCCTCTGACCATTACCCTCCCCACTAGCCACAGGCCACTGCTCGCCTTCGGCTCCGTCCTCCCCATTGTGCGCCCTCTGGCCATCACGGGCCCTCGCCTCTGTGTCCCGGGCCTCCTGCCCTCTCCGGTACCCACCCTGCACCCTGCCTGCCACCCGCACTGACTCCAGGGTCCCTGATGGTGTCACTCACGGAAGAGCAGCAGGTTCTTGTAGATGCGGGTGGCACGGCCCAGGCGGAGGAACACCAGGCCGTAGCTGTAGTCGGTGGACAGCACGTGGAAGCCCATCATGCCCTTCACTGCAAAGGAGCCGGCACTACCACGATGCTGGATCTGGGGCCCTCACGCCCAGCTGGCACCAGGCACCCGGAGTCTCCTGCACCGGCCTCCTGGTCAGCCCACCCAGGACAGTGTGGGCGGCTGTGGGCCAGAGCTAGCCTGATGCCCTGGCCCTGTGTCCACCCTGCCTGCCACACACTACGGGGTGTCCTGTCCAGTTCCCACGCTCCCCACCTGGGCCCCACATACGGGTGTTCCTGAACACGGCCTTCTTCTTATCCTTCCTCAGGGTCACCTCCTGGGACTGGCAGCCCCGAGACCTGGGGAATGGGCCGGGAGCTGGAGGTTGGGCCCCATTTACCCGCAGCCACCCAGCCCCATAGCATGTCTTGGTGCCGACTCCACCACCCTCAGCCCCATGGGGCTCGAGGATAGGGCCGTGGATGAGACTGAGGCTGCCGGTTTGGACCTGGAGGTTCTGTTGTTCTGGAATGTTCCAGCATGGACGGGGGCCTGCCCCACAGCAGGATGGAACAATTCAGGCCCTGCTCCCACTGGACTCCCCTGGGCAGCTGGCGCCTCTCCCAAACCCGTCCTTTGGTGTAGGGTTGGCAGAGGCGGGGTGACCGTGGAGCCCTACACTGCCCACCCCTCTCCCCTGAACAGTCTGCAGAGGCTCAGGGACCCCTGCTTGCGTCCCCTCACCGGCTAAAGGCGATGGCCACCTGCAGCCGGCCTGCACTATGCACCTTCACCACGGCTGCCCCCAGCTTCCTCTTGTCTCTGGCCGGCAGGAAGCCCGGGGCGTCGGTGGCCACAGCAAGAATGTACCAGAACCCTGAGAACTGGGGAGCAGAAGGCTGGTGTCAGAGCCTCCTTGTGGTCCTCCCAGACTCCTGCTGGAGGGCTCAGCGGACATGGCCTTTCCTGAGGCCCAGCCCATGACCCTGCCTGCAGGAGGGCACAGCCCTGCCCAGCCCCGGCCGCCCATGCCAGGTGCAGGAGAGGCTGATGTGGCTGCTCAGGGACAAGGAGGACGCTAAGCTGTGGGCAGCAGCAGGTTGGAGCGCCCACCCACCTCACAGGCCAGGTCCTCCTAGCTGGGGCCTCCGGGGGCCCAGGCCCCCCACCGCCTCCCCTGCCCTCTCGCCCCTGGTGCTTCCTGCCGTAGACTGAGGGCTCAGGCTCTGTGCGTGGGAGTGCTGCCGCCATGGCTGCCCAGCCCGGACCCTCTGCCCGCGTGTTCTCACCCCCACTGTCCTGGGGGCCACGCCTGCCACATTTCTGAGTTCTGGTCACCGCCCCTCCGCGGCAGCTCTCGGCCCCTCACCTTGCCTCTCATCAGGCTTTCGGCCTCAGAGCCCAGGCGGCAGCCCCTGGCCTGGCTGAGCTGAGCCCGCTTCTTCTGCTGGGCACACCGCCACCCTGCCCCCGGCCTCTGGTCCTTCACAGCCCTGTGCCCGCACAGGCAGCAGTGGGTACGTGGCTCACCTTGCCCCAGTGGAGGTTGTGGGACTCCTTGGGGGGGCTCTCCTGTGGCTGGAACCCTGTGGCCAGGGCCAGGGTCAGGGCCAGGGCCAGGCTGGGCAGCAGCCCCATCCTCACCGCCCTCAGCCAAGGTGAGGCCCAGGCGCTGCACTTATATCTCCGTCCCGCCTGCTGTGGGCATCCATCCTGCCCAGGCGTTGAGCCAGAGGAAGTCTGTGGGTGGGCAGGACCCGGTGGAGGCGGCAGGTGTGGCCTGGGCTCTGCGCCTCTCCCGACAGCTGGCCTGGCACTTGGCCCTCAGCACGGCCATCGCTGGCCGCTGAGCACGCGGCCTGTGTGGAGGCCCTGAAGATGCCGCCATCGTGTTCCCGGAGGCCACACTGAGGTCCCAGTGTCCCTCACTGCTGTGGGCCTGGGGTCACCCCCTGTCCTGTGTGTGTTGTCATGGCACTGGGCCACCTTCCTGGCAGTGGTACCGGGCCTCCCTCCATCCCAGCCCCCAGGAGAGAGACAAAGGGCCAGGCGCCCGGCAATGTGAGTCTCTGGCAGGTGCGCCATGGGAGCCGCCAGGGGCCTTCATCTTCCTGAGGCCGCAGTGCCTGAGCAGGTGCCCAGGGACAGGTGGGAGGGACGTGTGTGCCTGTGTGTGCCCACGTGTCCACAGATGCCGGTGGTGCACACGTGCGCACAGTGCGTTCCCAGCCTTGAGGACGGGCTTCCAGGTGCACTTGCCCCTCCTCGTGTGAGCCGTGGTCGACCCTGCCCACTTCCGGCCCCGCTGTCCCCTTCCTGGGCCCAGGAGGACCCTCAGGCTCAGGCCCTTGGGGCCCTGACTCCCCAAGCTGGAAGGAGCCAGAGCCCCAGACAGAGGAGGCCAAGCCTGGGTGCGGGCAGTGCCCCCCTGCGGGGCCATGCATGGTCACCCTGACACCCAGCACGGGTTCTGGTGGACACCGGGACTGGCCTCCTGGTTCAGCGCCAGCCCACCGTTGTCCTGTCCCCAGGCTCCTGCCCCAGCCCCGCCAGGTCAGTGCCCGCCTGCCCGGGTCCCTGCGGGAGAAGTGGCTCCGTCCCCAGCCCCAGAGGACCGGGACGCAGGCGCAGCGAGGTCTCGGGTCCCAGACCCGGCTCTGCGGCCTCCTCGGCCTCCAGCGGCACCCCTGGCCCCGGCACCTGCCTTCCAGCTGCACTTCCACCTGCCTTCCCTCAGCACTACCCCCACTACCCCCGCACCTGCCTTCCAGCTCCCCTGCCCGCCTGCACACACGGCCAGGCCCAGTCTGGAGGCACAGGGCAGGTTTGCTGTGGAGTCTTTTTATTCCGGGTCCAGAGAGGCCGCGGGAGCGGCCAGCCCTACACCAGCTCCTCCCCGGCCAGGACGCTGCGGTGCCTTCACTGCTGTGCTCACGGCCCATCCCAGCTCGTCCTGCAGCCATTGAGAAGCAACTGGGCTACTCGTGTCCAGCCTGTCCCTCAGCACCTATGGACAGGCCAGGGACCTCGGCTGGGCTCCCGTGGGTGTCTGGGCATGCATGAAGGACACGAGGTCCACACTGTCTGAGAAGAGGCCTCTCTCACCCTCAGGATGGGCACCGAGCTGGACAAAGTCAGATCCTTTAATTTAAGGCAGAGGAACAGGGCTGACTCTGGCCCTGCCGATGAGGAGCAGAAGGCACTACAGGGCCGGGCTCCCCCAGGGTCCCCGCCGGCCCTGCCTAGGGACACCCCTGCGTCCTCGTACTCACAGGGGTTCTGAACACCCATCCCGAGTCCTGCCGCTGCAGCTCCACCACGCTCTGGCTGCAGCCGTCCGGCCTGGGAACGCAGAGGCCCAGCACTCAGCTCAACGCAGGGCCACAAGGGGACATAGGTGCGTGGGAGTCTGCTAGTGGCTGGCAGTCAGGGAGGCCACCGAGAGAATCATCTCCCGCCAGTGCCCCTGGTCTCCGGAAGCCCTGCTCTGGGATGAGAGCAACATGCCTTGGCTGTACTAATTTTTTATTTAAACACTGTGACTTGAGCACACCTCACACTCTTGCAAGCTGGGCCCCCCTCCCCTCACAGCCTGTTCTGCTCTGAGCCCATCGATGTGCATTTGTGATTCTGGCAGATGCTGCCAATGTCGCCTCTCTGGTGACACACACTGGGGATGGCCAGCTCCTTGTGCTGGCGCCTATGCTGGCTGTTTCCTTGGGGTCCTTTGCCATCTGCACCCCAAACACAAACCCCAGTATCAGTCCCTACATGCCTTTCCCTCAGTCTGAAAGCTACGGAAGTCCTGGTACTGACGGGTCCCTCAGGGGCCCAGTGACCATCTGTTGAAACATCGACTTTCCCGTGTTTCCACTGCCCTGTGGGTCCTGGCCCAGTGTGGGCCTGTGGTGTCCCCAGGTGCCAAAGGTCCGGGCTTGGGCGCTGGATTCCCCAGGAGCTCACCCAACCCCACAGCACTTGTAGCCTGGTGTTTGTACAAGCCACAGATGCAGAACCCCACTCAACCCGGGGCTGGCTATGTGGATGGAGGGGCTGCACTGGCTCCCGAAGGCAGCGCTCGAAGAGGAGGGTGCTGCTTCTATCTGGGCCCCATCCGTCTCGGGGGCCCCCAGCCTCCCTGCGCAGCCACCTGCCAGGTGGAAAGCGCTGGCTGAGCCACCCCAGCCTGTGACAGGCCCTGGTCCTTTCCCCTAGAAGGGATACTGGTGCCAACGCCACCACCTCCCCGACCAAGGTCCCCACCACCACCATGGGCCTGCCCTGCACGTTGCCCATTGGTCAAGGCCAGCCGAGCCCATGTGGCCAGTGTGGCACACAGCCTTGGTGACCTCATCCCCATGGAGTTCATTCTATGACAGAACCAGGGCCCATGGGTCCACATGAAGGACCCACTTGAGCTCGTCCCTCAGAAAGGACCCAGAGAGAAGGGGCTGCAGCACAGATAGATGGCCCAGTCAACTGAGGACCAGGAAGCAGCGGGCCCAGTGCCCAGGGACACAGAGGGCAGAGGCAGGTGGAAGCGTGTGGTGTGGGGCTGAGCCAGAGAGAAGGGACGGGGGGGGGGGGCGCATAGTCAGGAGTAGAGTCCTCAGGCTGGACGGGTGGACACGGTCACTGAGGAAGCCTCTGCCGGGCTGGACTGGGTGCTGCCGCTCACCCCAGCGAGAGGACAGCAGCTTGAGCCCGTTCTCTGCGCTGAGCGTCACCACCACACCCTCCACGCTCCTCGTGTCCTTTTCCAGCATGAAACCCTTCTCATGGGAGGCCGCGGCGAGGATGTACCAGGACCCCAGCAGCTGCATGGAGGCAGGTAGCAGAGAGGTCCCGGCTGTCCTCCCAGGGCATCCTCGCTGCCGGGGAGTCCCAGGCCCTCGTGCAGCCCCCTATCCCTGATGCTGGTCTGGCCTCGCCATGGGGGACCCAGGAGCTGTGTGGCCTCCCAGGAGGGGCCTGGCACCCCAGGTCCGCCCTGCTGGCCAGAGGGGTCACCTGCTTGGGATCCAGTCTCCCCAGCCATACCACCTGGGCCCTGAGCAAGGACACCAAAGCCAGGAGAGTGGTCAGCTGGGCCACCCCCATCCTGCTGGAGGTCTAGGTGCTGCTCCACAGCCAGGACCTGCCCTGCTCCAGGCAGGAACCATTTTTATGGCTCTGTCCGCCGCCACGTGGGCGGCCTCTAACCAGACGGTGGCCTGGCCGCTCTTCTTGCAAAGCGGTGGAATGAGCCCAGGGGCACTCATTACGCAGTGGTGGCCCTGTGCCCAGCTCTGACCCACAGCAGAGTCCCTGCCAGGTAGCCACAGGGCTCATCCCTGCTTTTCTCTGCACTTCCTCAACTAAGTTCCCAGAAAAGGCATCCTACACTAGCCATTGCAGCCCGTCCTAGGTGGGTGCTACCCAGGCCCACCCTGGGAAGTCCCTGGCAAGCTCTGCAGGGTCAAACACAGCCAAGCCCATGGCCGGTGCAGTGGTCAGGGGGAAGGGCCTGAGATCTGTTCCAGTCATTAAACACCTACCTGACATCTCTGACTCCCACGCCTTCCCTGCTGCCGAGACCCCACAACTGGTACCCTGGACAGACCGTCCTGTTCCTTCCGCCCCATTGCACCCGCCCACCCTCCAGCTGGTTCCGGTCCTGTGGCCCCAGCTCTCCGGAGCCCTGGCTTACCTATGCCCCCCAGGACTCTGCAGCCTGGGTATGCAGATGCCAGGTCATGGGTGCCCCTACCAGAGAGGACTGAGTCTGAGCCTGCAAAGTGAGGGAAGCGGGCTGAGGTCTGAAGACCTCAGCCAGTATGGCCCGGCCTTGCTCATCTACCACTGAGCACATGAGCTAGCTTCCCGTGGGGATTGACAGGGTGGGTGCCACAGCAAGCAGAGACACAGGAGCAGCAGGCACTGCTTTCCTCAGTGTCACAGCTGCCTAGGCATACCGTACAGGACAAAGGCTATGCCACTGCCTCCCAGCCCAGCCCAGCCCAGGCTGGCCCGCAGGGCCCACAGGTTCAAGAGGGAGATGGGAGTTCAGGGGGCAGCTGGCACTTCTGCTCACCCGCCTCATACACCAGCCTGTCCCAACAACCGAGGGTACACACCTATAAAAAGCCCCACGAACTCTGCTATGAACATCATGCTGAAGAACTGAGAGCTCAACCCACCGTGTACCCAAACCCAAGTTGTAATTCTGCTGGTGTTCTGTCGCCTGTTGGCCTGGCCTGCCCCACCCCAGTGGGCAGCTGTCCAGTGGCTCCTGCTGCACAGCCCCCAACCAGGCTGCAGGAGTGCAGCGAGGGCATCTTGGCTGAAAGAAAAGCCTTCCAAACAAAGCTTCAGCGCCAAAATAGAAGCGAGAACTTCTGAGGAGCAGATAGGTATTTTTAAAGGGCTCTTGGCAGGGGCAGGCAGTGCTGGGGATTGAACCCAGGGCCCTGTGCATGCCAGAAAGTCCTCTACCATTGAGCTCCACCCCAGCCCTAATGCTAGAACTTCTCAAGTGCCAGGAAGAACATTTTCTAGCAACTGAGGTGCTCCCCATGGAAAAGACACAGGCAAGCCTCAGGGTGCTCAGCCCCAGGATGGGTACACCCTGGGAAGGTGGCTGAGTGCTGTCCCTGGTAACGAAGTCCCAAACTCCTTATGGACGGAGAATGCTGATGGGGCCCGGACTGGGCAAAGGACGGCAGGCCTGGCTGTCTTGCGCCGAAGCAGGGTGTGGCATGCCACAGGAGCAGCTCATGACTGCTGAGGAAGGGGGTCTGGCTGTCCCGTGGCCCTCTCTGGGTCCTGCAGCCGAAGCAGGGCCTCCATCTGCCTGCGCTTCTCCTTGGCCCGGTTGATGGTGATCCGGAAGAGCCTGCAGTAGAGGTGGACGGATGAGGGCGAGTCGTCGTTGCCAGGGATGGGGTAGGTGATGAGGCAGGGGTTGCAGTTGGTATCCACGACGCCAACGGTGGGGATGTTCATCTTGGCCGCATCTCTGACAGCCACATGGGGCTCGAAGACGTTGTTGAGCGTGTGCAGGAAGATGATGAGGTCCGGCAGGCGGACTGTGGGGCCAAAAAGCAGGGAGGCGTTGGTCAGCAGGCCACCCTTGAAGTACCGAGTGTGGGCGTACTCGCCACAGTCTTGGGCCATGTTCTCGATCAGGTGTGAGAACTGCCGGTTGCGGCTCACAAACAGGATGATGCCCTTGCGGTAGGCCACGTGGGCGGTGAAATTCAACGCCAGCTGGAGGTGCGAGGCGGTCTGCTCAAGGTCGATGATGTCCTGGTCCAGGCGGCTCCCAAAGATGTATGGTTCCATAAACCTGCCAGAGACCCCACCATGGAAAACGCAGTGAGGGTCCATGAGGTCCACTCCACCGGCCCCATGAGCCGCCCATCTTCCACCTCTTCTGGTGGGGGGCTCTGAAGCAGAACGAGCCCACTGAATGTCTCATGTGTACACACAACAACGCACACTGCCCAGCACGTCCTTTCAGCAGCCACCTTGGTCAGGCCCCTACGTGACTCCCCACTAGGTGGCCAGATCTCACAGCCCACAGGCTTGGAAGCTCCCTAGGTCTGTCTGTAAATTGCACCAATGGCTCCACCATGCTCCCGGCAGTTGCTGATGTAGCCTTGCCCCACACATCCCATCCCACCCCTCACTCTACCCCTGCTGTTCTACCTCTTCTGCGGCCCTATCACTCCCGTGGTCCACAGCCACCCTAGTCTCCCACTACCCGTCTAGTCCATTCTCCATGCAGCAGTGACCACACAGAAACATCTGATCAGGCACTACTGCCGTCCTCAGCTTAGAAGGCCCTGCAGGATGCAGTATGGGGCCACTTCACAGCTCCTCACGCTCTCACCTGTCTCTGAATCTGGGGAGCCTTCATCGGCTGGCAGATCTGACAAACACTAGCTAGCCTCATGCCGATTTGCTCAAAAGAATAAATGACTGCCCCTTGTGATAAGGCGGTACTAACAGGACCTGTATCAATGCAGGACCCTCTCCCCTGGGAACCACCACTGGGACACATCTGGCCAAGGGCCCGGCTACCTGTGCCGACAGCCAGCTTTATGTCCCAGGTGCACTCGGGCATCGAAGAGGCTTTTCATGGAAAACAGCTCCTTGACCTTGAAGAAGTCGGAGTGCCGGAGGGGCTCGTCCAGAAGCTTCCTTTGAGAATCTAGGGCATCAGGAGGAGAGTGCTGCGGTCTGCTACCACCTGCCCACCCCGAGACCAAATGTGTCCCATCACAGAGCTGCGGAGGGCAGGAGTCCAGCAGCAGTGGATGCCCAACTCCCCAGGAAAGACAGGAAAGCCACAGCAAACAGGGGTGGAGCCCGGTTCCGACAGGGCTGTGCTGGGGAAACCGGGCTGCTCCCTGCCCCCGGTGCCCTGGAAAGCGAGGAGAAGAGGAGAGGGGTCTAATGGGCTTCTACAATCTGTCTGGTCCTCACGACCACCGGGCACGGCACGCCACTCGGGTGTCCGGCCGGAAATGCCCTGCCAAGGGTCAACCAGGTGGACAGAGTGGAGCCCGGCGCTCACAGGTCCCTGGAGCCCTCTGTGGGCTCAGTGCCTCCGAGCACCAGGCCTGGGGCGACGCCCTGACGGCCACTGTCCCCCCACCGACCCGGGAGAATGCTGCGCGGGAGAATCCGCGGGCAACCGCGGATGTGGCCCCAGGGCAGGTCCCGGGGAGCCCCGCTTCGCCCCCACCCCAAGGCCGTTACCTCCGCCGCCCTCCGGCTCGCCGACTGCGGGGACCGCGGCGCCTCCGAGGGCCCTGTCGCTGGGCCACGCCGCGCCCGGGGCCGCCGTCCGCAGGAAACCGGGCCGGACACCTGCGGAGACAGCGTCTGCTGGGCTGCGCCCCCCTCGCCTTCCCGCCCTGTCCTCCCTGGCCGGGGCCTAGCGACCGCTCACCTGCGTTCAGCAGCCGGGTCAACGCGAACACGGAGGGCGCCATGGCGGGCGCGTGGACGGACGCCGAGCGACGGCTCCTCCCCGCCGGCCCAGAGTGACCGCCGCAGCTCGGGGCCACAGCGCCTCCTGCAGGCCGGGAGGACCGAGCCGGCGCTGAGTGGCTTCCCAGACCCCGCCCCTGCAAAGCCCCTCCCCTCCCTCAAAGCCCCGCCCACCCAAAGCCCGCCCACCTCCCCTCAAAGCCCCGCCCACCTCCCCGGGCCGGGGGGCTCCAGAAGCCCTACTGCTCAGTCAGCGTCAGATCCTCACTTGCCCAGTGCGCGGGGGGCACTGCAGACCCTCGGTTTCCTGTTCGGGACCCAAGGCCTTGGGCTGCATTTGCCCCGACGTCGCTTCCTGCTGTATTTTGGGACAGCCCTGCGGCTAACCCAGGGTCCGCGCAATGAGCTGGGAGCTGGGGGCTTCTCCACAGGACAGTCCTCCTCCTAACTCCTCGCCGTCCGGACCTGTCCAGCCCTCCTCATTCACTCGCCCCGAAGGTTCTAGACCTTCCAGGGGAGGGCCTGTGTCCCTTGGCGCTGTGCCATTAAGAACTGGCCCCTCGTCGGTCACGTGACGCTGTCGCCTAGCAACGAGAGCCACGCCGCAGCCTTTGCTTGGCTGAGCAGAGGCGAGATGTCCGAGGAAAACCCCGAGGAGCGCGCGGAGGCTGCGGCGCCCAAGGCCGAGGCGTGTCCGGAGAAAACCAGCGACTACTACCGCGTGAGCGAGCATCTGCCGGTCCGGTTCAACAACCCGGGGTGGTTTCGAGGCTACAGGTGAGGGAGATGGCGTGATCCGGGGTGCACGAAGAAGAGGGGTGCAGGGTAGCTGGCCCTGGTGCTGGGCGCGCAGGTAGGCCTGTGTCTGAGACCCCCACCGTCAAGGAACCCCAGGTTGCTGGCCGCAGGTCAGCCTGACGCTGTGGTGAGGCACGGAAGCTCTCCTGAAGCTGCCCCATGCGTGCGGGCTGGCGTCAGCCAGGGTCAGGAGTGGGGCGACCCCAAGTCCCAGGCCCAGTGCTGGTCCCAGCGCCGAGGTGTTGTGACCAGGTGAGTCTCCTCCCCCGATCCCGGACCCCTACCGGAACTGATCCGTGGTAGGTGGTCCCAGCGTGCAGTCATGGTTCCTTCTTTGTCTGTATTGGCGCAAGTATGGCTTGGCCACGCTGGCACTCAGAGGTAGAGGGACCTCTGGGATGGCAGGGTCTAGGGGCTGGGCTGTGGCTCCTAACAGTGTAACTCACGTGCCAAGGCCCTGCAGTGGCTGCTGAGGCTTGGATGTGCCCCGGGCTCTCATTAGGGTACTGGCCTGCCATGGAGGGAGCAAGGCCGGCGGCCAGCAGGGGAGGCTGGGGAGGCGGGCCTGCCAGGAGCAGGACGGTCAGCCCGCATGGGATGGGAGCCCACTCTGCCGTGCCACCAGCCTGGGCACAGCACTCTCCTGGGGACATCACCAGCAGAGCTCCACCGAGCAAATGCTTAAGGGCTGTGGTGCGGGCAGACTTAGGACAAACGGGTGGGAGAACGTGTGCATTTCTCCTCCACAGAGCCAAGGAGGCTGCCTCGGTGTACAGGACCAGTAACCAGGCTTATGGGAGCAGAGCACCCACAGTGCACGAGATGCCGGTATGTGCGGAGCGCAGGGGGTGGCTCATGGAAGGGGCGAACCCTGGAGCTGGGAAAGGGCAGCAGCGGGAAGGCAAGGGGTGGAGCCCGAGGACACCACTTCCAGTGTCACAGAGGGGAGGCACCTCAGTGCTGAGACAGGGCAGAGCAGGAGGAGAACACACGCATGTAGAAGTAAAATGTTTTGCAGAATGACAAAAGTGCGTGTAGACCTGCTTCTGTGTGACTCTCACTTCCGAGCGCACCGCCACACACAGCCTTCGCACGTGCACACAGCTCTCACATGGGCGCACAACCCGCAACCCACAGCCTTCACACATGCACATGACCGTTTCTCTCAACCCGAGGCAGCCAGCTTTGAGGAAGATAAATGACGGCCACCTTCTCTCTGAATTAAACTTTCTTTTATGAGCTACTCCCATGTGACCGAGGGGCAGCACCTGTTGAGGGCCGTGGTCGCAGACATGGGCGCACCAGTGGGCATGGGCTCTGGGTGCCCCTGCAGACTGAGCTCACACCCCAAGGCAGCCTTCCTCCCCTCCCCGTAGGTGCAGGGGACACACCACTTGGGCCAACATAGTACCCCAGGCTGTTAGGGCCATTCAATTTGGGGTGACAATGTTGTCGGGGGTTCCCTCAAATATTCATCATTTTGAAAAATTCGGTGATTGGTATTTAGTTGTGTTGTGTGATAGAAGTCTTATTTATCAGAAAAATTTCTGGTGGGCTACGGGGTGTAGCTCAGTGGTACAGCTCTTGTCTAGATGTGAGGGGGGCCCTCTAGATTCAGTCCCCTACAGTGGTACACACACACACACACACACACACACACACACATGCACGTGCACATGCATACAGGACTGACATTTCTGGAGTCACTCTCCCAGAATTAAGGGATTCTCCTGATCCTTCCCTGGGGATCAGACATTTTTATGAAATAGCAGACTCACTGACTAAAATGGGTCCAGATGTTTCTGTTTTCCAGATGTTTCCACAAAACATCTCTTTAGGTAGAGTGGGGGGGTCTGTATTCAGCGGTGTTAGCTGGCAAGGGCAGGTGAGACATGGGGGTATCAGAGACAGGTTTTGGGGAGGTTCTTCTTGCTGCTTACGTATCTTACCTGGAGTTGGCTGTTTAGTTTCTTGACCAAATGTGGATGCTGGACTCCAGGAGCAGCTGTTGGCTGGGAAAAGTAGATCTAGGGGTCACCCCAGGTCTGACCCCCAGGTTCATGCTCACCCTCAGGCTCAGGTGTGGGAAGGCCACACCCGCCTGGGCCTGGCGCGTCTTTTCTGTCCATGGAGTGGTGAGAGAAGGTGCTGCTAATAGTTATTCCTGAGTGACAGGCATCAGTTGGGATGGTCGGGGGCAAATTAGGTCATCTTACCCATCCTGGTGTCTCAGATTCCTAAGAATGGAGATGGTTTTCTGTTTTTTTTTTTTCTTTTTTATTGCAAATTCTTATTTTTCTTCCCAGTGTACCCAGCCGTTGTTCAAGAGGATCATCATGCATCATTAACCCTAGTGTTTCCTTTCTCTTCCAGAAAGTATTTCACTCAAGTTCAAGTAAGTTTTCCAGACAGCTCTCAGCTAGTGGAATGTTCCGGGATAATACGTTCAATGTCTGCATGGAGAAGAGCCTCGTGACGGGCCCAGACAACTACATCACCCCCTATGACAGGCTTAACTTCCACCCCAGTTACAACGTCAGCAGACCGTCCATCTGCGACTAGGGGCGAGGCACCCCTCCCGGAGTCTTCTCTAGGCTCTGCCTTCGCGATTTGCCCCATTGTAGAGGTACACATTTCACTGCTTTCTCTGAAAATATTTTTCTCCTGGAATAGAACAGTATGCAAACACTGTATTGTTGCGTTATACTTTCCCTGTTTTACATCTAAGATGCACACAGGAAAGAGATGTTAATGGCTTGACTTTCCATTACAAATGTTGTCTGGCCTGAATGCCCAGCTTTCCTGAAATTTGGGTTCTAGCACCATGACCACGGCCTAGAAGCAGGGGCTGCGCAGTGACCTCCTGTGTTGGAATCTGGGAGCCACTGCTATACGTGGGACCCATTCCCCCAGCTGGAACCTGCACTGACATGCAGGGCCCCCCTCAGGACATGGGGTGTTCCACTGAGATGTGTGACAGGGTACAGGAAAAGCAGGTACCTTGTCAGCAGAGCCCAAGAAGGTGGCACTGGCTGTGGTCTATTCGAGGTACAGATGGGTAGTGACAAGTGTATGTCCTCCAGCCCCAAACTGTGTGGGGACAGAAAGGACGCACGAGGCTGACCAATGCCAGCCGCCATGGTGATGTGCACGTGGAGTGGGGTTATCTTATTTTAAAATCGCAATAAAAGTTTGAAAGAAGGTATGCGAGGAATAATGAATAATTTTCTTAGATGGGGCAATAACTCCACGAAGTGGATTTTCATCTCTGGGTAGCACTAAGTCAGTGTGCGCCATGAGCCCCAAGGTCATCAACAGCAAGACATACATCTGTAACAGGATATAGCTTTCAGACATAGATTTTTTTTTTTTTTAACTCCATGAGAGTAAGGTGTACTCATAGGAAATTTGGAAAGTATTGAAAGTAGAAAAAAAAAAGAAGTCATTCTTCTATGCCATCATTAATACCTTGTGTACAGAGATTTTTCTCCAGGGATCCTACTCTCTTGTGAATTAGGGAGGAAATTAACCGTCTCCCCTGGTTATTTCTCCAGTATAAACTCAGTGCTGCCATTAATGCACGCGAGTAATCATTTGGCAGCAGTTTGGGATGGAAATGATTTCCAGAGAAAATCAATAGAGCTAATATAAAAGATACAGAGCTGAGCTTGAAGCCAAGATCTATGTACTGTCTTTCTTTTGAGCCAGAAAACCTGTAGTCCACACATCAAACTGCAGAAAAATTCCTGCAGTCCTTAAACATATCAAAATGCTTGTGAGCCTTCGGTGTTTAGCTTCACTGAAATAAAAGGAGGAAAAAGGGCTCAGGACCCGGTCTCACAGTGCTGAAAAGACGGGGCTCCGCCACAGTGACTCCAAACAGCGGGGTGGCAGCTCTTGGTTCAGCAGTGCCGTCGGCCAGATGACGGTTTTTTTCTCCAGGTGGGAACAGCTGAGCTCCTGCTGTCCTGCTGGTCCGAGCGCCCCATCATGCTGAACAGAGTCCCTAGGCCCAGGCTGCGGTACCAGCAGGGGCTGGGCCAGGAGCGCCCATCTGCACATAAGACATGCGGCTGCCCAGGGGCCGAGCTCACCACAGGCTTTCTGGGGTTTCGGGATGCGGGCCTCGTGGTGGCGTGCTGGAACTCCTCCATTGCTCATGCTGTTTCTGTACCAGCTGCAGCTGCACGGATGCGAAGTTAGGCTCCGTAGGAGTCTCGAGCATCAGGAAAAGTACAAGCCTCAAATATTTTGGATGTAACCCTTGTGCCTACCTTCGTCTGTTTTTTTAATGTTTATTTATTTATTTATTTATTTGGTTTTTTTTTTTCTGGTACCGGGAATCGAACTCATGACCTCGCGCTTGCCAGGCAGGCGCTGTGCCGCTGAGCTAAATCCCCAGCCCCATGCCTTCGTCTGTTTTCTAAGGCTAAATCACAATACTCAGGCTGGGTAATTTAGAAGAGGTTTACTTGGTTCTCACTTCTGGAGGTGGGAGGTCCCCGTGCCTGGTACTGACCACTGCTCAGCACCTGGCAAGGGCCTCCCTGCTGCGTCCTGGCATGGTGGGGGCACGGCAGGTGAGACTAGGCAAGTGGACTAGCGTGGGTCTCTCTGCCTCTTCTTAGGAAACTACTAACGCCATCCTGAGGCCACACCCTCAATGAGACCAGGCCCTAAGGCTCCACCTCCAGGCCCAGTAACAGATGCATTGAGGACATTTCCAACACATGAACTTGGGGTTGCATTCAAGCCACAGCGCTGTCCATCTTCCTGGAATTCAGTGACCATGTTTCCCTATCCTCCTGCGGCCATCCTGGGCTCTGAACCCTCCCTGGGGGTGGGCTGGGTCGGAGGCTCAAGGCTGCCAGCCCTGGCCCCAGAGACGAAGCCTAAGTTTCTTCAGTGGCAGAGGAGCTGTGGTGATTAGAAGTCTCAGGACCTGCATCTTCTAACAGATTTCCAGCCTGAGATCTTTGAGAGAAAAATGAGTTCAGATGAACTGATCTAATCGAGGGCTGCAAGAGCCTGCTTTGTTTGTGAGCACAGCATACAAAACAGATGGCTAGGAACATAACAGGGAAATGGGGTGTGACCCCGCCCCTTACCCACTTGTTATGGTCTCCTAATCTTAAAGCCTCCAGGGAAAGGTGGTGGACACACCGAGGGCGAGGAGTCAGTTCTCCCGGACATCAGAGCAGAGCAGGGATGCAGCGATTTCTGCGCCCCTCTCCGCTGCACGTGTGAATGGACCCTTGCTTTGTTTGGCCTTTTTGTTCCACTTGGAAATTAAAATTTGGACAAAACTATTTCACATCACTTTACTAATCACTTAATTTAGCTGTTGGGTTGGTTCAAAACCAGTCACTCCTTAATCTTTTTTTGGGGGGGGGAGCACACCAGGATTAGAACTCAGGACCTCACACTTGCCAGGCAGGTGCTGAAGTTATTCCTTAATCTAAAAGTACATTTTCATTTACGTTTCTCTGTTTTCTCCTCTGGTAACCTTTTATCTTGTAATTTTCTTTTTTCTTCCGGTACCAGGAATCGAACTCACGACCTTGTGCTTGCCAGGCAGGCGCTTTCCTGCTGAGCTAAATCCCCAGCCCCTTAGCTTGTAATCATAGTCAATTAGAATAAATGGTTTCAAATGTATAGTAAAAAATGTTGATATTAATAAAAATCTTCTGTATTCAGTGTACAAATACCAGAAGCCTCAAAGATTTTGCAAATAGTGGAATATCCATCTCTATACACACACACACACACACACACACACACACACACACACACACGGTATAAACCTAGCTCTGATTCTCATCCCCATGGTGGGTTTTATGCTGGCTTTTCCCCTCAAACTGCTTTCCATTAATGGGGTAGGGGATGGAGATCAAAAGGCACAGAAGTTGCCTTTTGTTTTTATATGAGCATACACTTACTATTTCTGTGAGCAGATTTAAGGTACATACATTATTGTCTTATTTTCCAATGCAAATCTCAGTTGGAAAACCTGCTGTCTGAGCCACGTAAAGGGTAACTTCCTCGCAGGAAGTCACCCAGGAAGGCCCATCCCAAAGGACCAGACACCTCTTACAATCAGGCCTCCCGCTCCCTATTCTTGGCATTAAATGAAGTGGAGCCCCGCCTGCCCTCCCGAGCCTCACCTCTGGGTCGTGACAGTGGCAGCCTTGCCAGGAGCTTGAGGAGATAGCATGCAGTGTATGGAAGGACTCTGACAGAGTGGGCGCACGCCTATTCAGGTCGCGGCTGTGTGGATGCTGTGATACGGGTGCACCTCCCTCCCCACCAGATTCGGCAGAGGTGCCACGAGAGGGCTGCAAACATACAGATGTTGTCAGACCCCTCCCATGCGAAGAAACCCGCTGGGCACAGCTGACCTTGTCGTCGGCCCTAAACCCAGCAGGAGGCTGAGGTCTCAGCTCTGGCCGGAGTTGACCTAATGTGTAAGTTGTGGACACAAACATTCTCAGGCCACGTGGCAGGCAGGCGGTGCCGGGCATGGGCATGCCAGTTTGTGAAAACAGCAATCAGAATCCCTGTCCACTGATGCAGAAAGTTAGTTACTGCTGAACGCAGGAAAAGAGAAGGTTTGGGGTCCCACAGGGCACCTAGTGGACCACTGTCAGGAGGGCTATCGGGTCAGCCTCTCCCTCCCAGGTGATAGCAAAGCCTGACCTGAGGCATTGGCGAGGGTGTCCCCGGCAGCTGCAGAGTGACCACCAGGAGGTCCCATCAGTGACACGCACCTTGTCTCAAACTGAAACTGCCACATCCCTGGGCTTTGGCGGGTTGTCCTTGATGATGGGCCTTGCTGCAGCCTGCACTGCTCTGGGGGGCCTTCGTGCAGGGGACCAGCAACTTGGGAGGACCAGGTAACAGGTCCATTGGTTTGAGGGGGACTGGAGAAGTGGCCTCTGCAGGCCGGGCGAGGGGACGGGCACCGAGAGGCCCTGGGCACTAAGCTTGCTGTGCTGCACACTGCAGCTCCCCCTTTGCCCCCAGTCACAGGGGCCCAGATGACCTGGGGTATCAGACCCTGCACAGGCTGGACTGCTCGTGTGGTCAGGGTGGACAGACTACATAAGCAGATTTGTGGGTAGAGCTGGATTTATTCATTAAAAAAACCAGTTCTTATGTACAAAACAAGCTGATTTTTTTTTTTGCAAGGGTTAAAAGCACTCTTTAAAAAATTAAAGTTACATCATGGATTACATAGAACTGTTTTTCTTCCCAGAAGCACTTAAGTGAACAAATATGCCACAAGGAAGCTGTCACAGTACATCAAGACGGCTCAGGAGAGGGAAGGGACAGCGAAGGGACAGCAGGTCTTATTCCTCACAGCTCCGGCCTAGCAGACGTGCACTGTGGACAGCAGGGGGCGTGTGTCCGCGTTTGGGCTGAGAACAGAGTTACCCTGGGGGTGCACAGGCTTACAAAATCCACTCCCACCTTAGAACACCCACCAAACTCAGTTACAAAGTAGAGCACGCCTCGGCTGAACGTCCACACTGAACGTCCACACTGAACTGCAACACTCGAGGTGAGTGACACTCACAGCGCAGACGTTGTGACCACCAGTGTCCAGAGTGGCTCTGTCCCCAGAGAAGCCACGGGTACCTCAGTGCCTCTGAGCAGAAGGCCAGGAAGTCAGAGACAGGAACACCAAGGACAACAGCTGCCGCCTGGGGGGTGGCAGGGGCCCTTCGGGCTCTGCCCCAAGGAAGCAGCCACAGAAAGCCACATCCCCAACTGGGCTCAGGTCCTGGGTGAGGCCTGTCCCCCATCGGGCTCTCCATCAGCCGTCAGCGGTGGCCAAGGCATTTGGGGACCACGCACCTAAGAGCTGTGCTTATTCACGCATGTGCACAAATCGGGAACAGGACAGTTACGACATGCGCGCTGCTACCTCTCAGAACCACGACTAGGATGGAGAGCGGCGGAGGGTCTCTGGCGAGGAGCGGTCTGTTGAGATGCTCGAGTCATCCCAGGGTGCTCACTCTGCAGCTGGGCCAGAGCCCGGCCTGGCCGTCCTGTGACCTGCTCACCAGTCACCAGATGACTCGACCCGGCGGCACGCTCTCTGCCCGTTGTGCTTTTGAGGGCTGTGGCTGTGGTTTTCAGAGGAAGTGCTCTGGCTGCTGGGCACCAGGGCGTCCTTCAGGACTGTCCCAGGAGCTTTCCTGGTCCGGGACAGAGCAGCCGCCTCCTTCCAGGGTTAGGTTCCACACCGGCAAATAGCCCGTAAGAATCAGGCTTAGTCTTGGGCCCTCGTGGTGACATAACCACCAAATATTTGCTCATCGACAACTCATAGGCTGAACACAGAAAACTGAAATTACAATATTGAACAACAGTATTTTTCAAAAATATTTTTACAGCACTTTAAATATTTTACAAAAAGCTACAAAAATCATATGTACCAGGATACGTCCGTTAAATAGAAACATCCATTTCATGTTAGTTTACATATATACAGGGCTTCCATGTGTAAGGAACTCTGGTTTTTCCTCTGTGACTTCGAGTATCACCCACACACACATACACACATGCACACACACAGATACACGCACATGTACACCCGCTGCTGCACGCCAGTGTGACCAGAGCCAGACACCTATCACAACTTGAGGACTTTGCCCTTCACCATAGAGCTGCCGCCACCGTCCTCCACAGAGGTGTCACTGAATTCGCTGGCATCACTGCCCAAGGCCTCCTGGTCCTGGTCATCCCTGTCAGTGACCCTGTGTGGATACCTCAGGTCTAAAATGTTCTCCTCCGAGCCTGAGTTCTTCCTGTTATGCAAACCGAGCCCGGCCTGGGCCTTCCTGCTGGGCCAGTGCCCGCCGTCCTTTGTGAGCAGGTGCGGGCTTCCAAACACAGGGCCATGGCTGGCCGGGGTCTCTCTGAAGGCGGAGAAGGAGGGTCCCTGCAGAGGCAGGCCCAGGGGGGCACTGAGGAGCCCGGCTTGGGTGCCCCCCCAGGGGGTGCTCTTCCCAAAGTTAAACAGCTGGGTGGATAGCAGGGAAGAGAAACCTGGGAAGGTCGGGCCCTTCCTGGGGTCCGAGGAGAGGCTGGGTGGGCCCCTGGCCTGTACCTCGGCTGCCCTCTCTCTCTCAGCCCCAAGGCCCCCTGTCCATGCTGAGCCTCGACTGTCCGAGTTCAGTGCCCATGGGCTGGGCAGCCTGTTCTGGTGGGCAAGGTCGCCCCAGGGGAGAGACAGGTCGACCTGGAGTCCCAGGCCAGGGGTCACCAAGCTCTGGCTCCCATAGTTCACAGGAAAGTTTCCGCCGGTGCTTCTGGCCTCAGCGGCTGCTCTGGCACAGCTGGGCAGCTGACCGAACATGCTTTCCGAAGTGGCAGGCTCAGCCCCTCGTGGGCTCTGGTCTTTGTGGACGTAAACATTTCTCCGGCTCGCCAGGGAGCCTTTGGCAGAGACAGTCCCACGGGTGCTCCTGGGCAGCGCTGGCTCACTTCCACTCAGAACAGCAGGGGCACGAGGGGTGCTCTCCAAGCGGGGGGTGCCCTTCCCGCCTGGCACGAAGAGGCTGGCAGTGCCCTGCAGCCCAGCTCTTTCTGCAGCCCTTGGCCCTTCCATAGGCTGAGGGGCCCCCCTGGCCCTCTGGCTCCGCGTGCACACCCCATGCTGCAGGGCGGGGGCCAGCTCTTTCCTGCACAGCACCTCCGGCCTCGCCGGACCCTCTGTTCCCAGAGCAGTGGGGGTTGCTCCTTGCATTTCGGAAATGCTCACTGACTCTTTGGCCTTTTCTGCCAAAAACTTCTGAATTTCCAGTTCTATGCTGTCGTCACTGTCCACCGAACTGTCCTCAGACAGGGAGCTGGTGCTGTGGGCCGAGCAGTCAGCGTCCGGAGCCCCCGTCTCCCTGGAGAACAGAGGCCGCTCTGGGCCCCTCCCCCACGAGAAGGTGGGGGTCGAATCCTCCTCCCCCAGGCTGGCTGGCTTTATGCTCTCCACTGTGCGGCTGGAGACACCTGGCAGTCTCCGCCGAGGGCCAGCCCTGCTGTCCTGGCCGGACTTAGACAGGCAGCTCCTCAGCACCCGAGGGCCTCTGTCTTCCCAGTGTCCAGGGAGGCCACGCAGTTGGTCCACGGACCGTGTCTCGGTGGTGCTGAACCTGACTTTCTTCTTGCAGGCGGCTCGGGGGTCCCTGCCCCTCTTCTTGAGCTTCCGCTTGGATCGTAACAGGTCCTTGATGGCTGTGTCCAGGTCCGCATCGCTGTCCAGTGAGCTGCTCTTATCCTCTGAACTCTCTTTCTCGCCAACACTCTGTCCTTCTTCTGCCTTCCCGGCACCCCTAGGGCCTGGAGTCAGGGGCGAGTCACTAAGCCCAACTGTCCAGGGTGGCATAGGCTGGGCCCTGGCCTCACTCTCCCTTCCTGGCACCTCCCTGGCTTCTCCCTGGCTGGGTGGGTCCCGCATATCCTGGCTGGGCTGAGCCCGGCTCTGGCCGTGGTCACCATCCTGGGCGCTTTCTCTCACCTCCCTTGTTTTCTTGGTTGTGGACGGCCTCACGGCGTTGCTGCCTCCTCTCCGTTTCCTTTTGCAGCTTGGGGACAGGTCTGATGTTTTATTGGACGGAGGGGCCTTGGGGTCGCTGGCCTGGCTGTTGGGGCCAGGCAGCAGCAGCGGGCCCTGCGTGGGCAGAGGGCAGCCCTCGGCTCTGGCCAGCACACTCCCAGATTGCGCCTTGAGAGCCAGAAATGTCCGGATTTCCTGCTCAATGCTGTCGTCACTGTCCACGGAGCTGCTGTCACCGTCGAAGCGGGAAGGCACGTCCGGGGAAGGCAAGCGTGGGCTCGCAGAGGGAGGCCTGTCGCTGCCCTCCACAGGGGCCGGCAGGATGGTTTTGGAAATGTCCAGGATTGCTTCGGCACATATCAGCTCAGCGGAGGTATCTGCCCGGCAGGACACCCGTTCCACACACTCGCTCCTGGCGATGGAGTTTACTGGAGGTGCAGAGGCTTTGGCGTCCTTCAGAAGCTTAGAGGAGTGGTCCGGGTCAAGGACCCCAGGCCCAGGGTCCACAGCTTTCAGGGCTGCTGGCTTTTTCTTGCTTGGTGCTCTCCGGTGGGTTTCAGGCAAGGCACTTTTCATGCCACTGCCTGTGCTACCTGCAGGGAGGTCGGGCGCCATCTCCTCTCTGAGCTGGGTTCTCAGCAGCGGGTCCCCGCTGGCCTCCTTCCTGGTCTTCTCCAGCTGGTAGAGCTGGATGGCCTCCTCGATGCCGTCGTCACTGCTGGAGTCCGATGCCTCGTGCACCAGGGCTGGGCTCCTCGCCTGCCTGCCCCTCCGCCCGGCACCTGCGCCCTTCCTCACCCCACCTTTACTCTGTGCTGCTTCTGCTTTGGGGACAGCCGGCTTTGTGCTGCCCGTGGTCTCTGGCTCGGGGATGACCTTAGGCCTCAGGCTCCTGGGCTGGGAGCTCATCTTCGCTAACCGGGGAGGCTTGCGGAAGACAAACTCCTTGGTGGTTCCCCTCAGGTCCTGCCGAGGGACGACCTTGATGGGAGGCTCTTTGTTGGATTTTGCTCTGGCTGCACTTTTGTTTGGGTCTGGGTTTTTGTCCATAGATGTATCACATCTGGGACTCTCATGTTGTCTTTTCTTGTGCAGAAACTGTTCGATCTCTGCCCGGATGCTCTGTTCGAAGGAGTCCTCGCTGCTCACACTGACGGGGGAAGCAGAGCCCTGGTCCTCGCTGGCCCCCACGGAGCTGCCAGAAACACTGCCTGACACAGGGGCAAGTTTTGGGGGACCCAGGGCAGGTGGGGTGCTGCTGTGGGGAGGCTCCAGTTTGCATCTGCTGCTCCCAGCCGAGGCCCTGCCAGGCGGGGTGCCCCCAGACCCAGGCTGTGTGGCCCCGCTCCTGGCCTTCAGGTACTCCTGGATGGCCTCCTCGATGTCCCGGTCCACAGAGTCATCGCTGTCTGAGTCCAGCACCAGGGGGCCCAGGTCTGCAGCTGCCTCCTCCCCTGGGGGGTCACAACGGTCAGCAAGGCCACAGGCGGTGAATGCAGGGGGCTGCTCTTTGCACATGGAGGGGCTGGGGGCCAGCCTGGCATCGCGGCACCTCTCTGCCTTCTGGCTTCTCTGTGCAGGGCGCTCATCGCTCATGCCCAGGGGCACTGCGTCGTGCTGCTGCAGCGTGCTGATGATCATCTGCACCTTGGCGCTCACCGCGGCTCTGGCGACGTCCTCTTTCGATTCCGAGAAGCACCCAGGAAACCTAAAGCTCCCAGGTGGGCTGAAGGCCTCCCATTTGGACTGGAGCGCGACCACTGGAGGGGTGTTCATGAGAAACATCCTAGCGGGTGTGGCAGGCGCGCAGGGAAGCACTGCTTTATTTTCTGGCCCTTTTCATATCCTGGGAAGAGAGAAAGCACAGTACATGACATGTCTAAGGAACCAGACACATCAGCAAGCGTCACGTACGGCCATGGAGAAGCAGGCTCCCTGGGCTACACCACATCCAGGGGTCCTGGTGTCCTTGCACAAGCTACCCATGCTTCCTGGGCCTCAGTTTCCTCTGCTGTGAAAGGACTTCCTCCCTCTGAAGGAAGCCCAGTGTTCCAATCCTAGGTGCTGTGCCCATATTGAGCACAGTTGCCCCTTCACAGCCCTTCCTGTCCCCCTCTGAGCTTGCATCTTCTCCGTGAGAGGAGAATAGAGGCTTTCTTTACTTCCAAAGGTTGTTGGGAGGAGCCAACTAGACAGAGCCTGCAAACGCTTCTCTGCACGTGAAAAAGAGCGGCTGTTAGCAAATCCAGGGTAAGTGCGACTTCACAGATGGCTTCGTTACTGAGGCGACCAGGGTGCTTCTGGAACAAAACTTGCATGATTTAAGCAACTCAAAACTTATTTCCCCAAGCATCCTCCGCAGCCACTTTGACAAGGCCTTTGTATGTGAAAATGTCAATGGGACCATGTCATTATTTTAATCTAACAAGCATAGAAGTTGCCCCAGACACTGTCGCATGCCCTTGGTATCCTGTGGTTTCCATTTGGGAATTTTACTATGAAGATGGGGTCACAGCTGGCCCTTCCAGGAAAGGCCTGAGAACCACCACTTAGAGAGGGGGCACAACGTGGATGGCACACGGTCAAAGAAAAATGCCAGTTACACTGTGCACCTGTTAATTCTCCACAGACTCCTCCAAAGTCCATCCTGCTACCCCCTTGAATTGGGAGTGCAGTGCCGTTCAGATGTAAGAGAGCACCCCAAGGCTGACAATGCAGAGAACTAGAGCTCCCCCTCAATCATGGGGCCAGCGAGGTTGCCGCCATCCTAAACCTCAGTGGCTGAGTGGGACCTTGCGGAGCCCCGGCTGGGGGGTCTGGCCTTCACACCAGGAGCTTCCTTCGTGACAAACACTGGATCTGGTGTTTGCATGGCTCACTCCTGTCCTGGAAAGGTGGGGCTGGCCACCTAAGCAGACGCGTTGAAATGGTGGAGCCAGTGCCTAAATGCAGGGCAACACATTCACAAGCAACCGTGCTCAGAAAGTGAAGTTAAAATGTAAGAATTCACTGCCACTACTTGTAATTCTCTTCTGTCCCGGCTCACATTCCAACAGGCTGTGGGGAGGAGGTCTTCACTGCTCTGCTCACACGCTTCCGAAGAATCCTATGCCAGCTTCCAGATAGGTTTTGACTACTGGAGTCAGAGAGAATGACAGACACCGACTCAGAGACCAAAGCTGCAGTTCATAAATGTTTCCCAGGAAAGAGAAAGACCTGTCATTAACATAACATCTCAAAATTAAATTATGGAAGGACTTATCCCGAGACCAAGTTCTATACGTTAATCACAGCTCATTTGCAACTCTTCTGGGGTCTACAGCGGAGGTGCTAGGCAGAGGGACTGTGTACGCCAGCTACCATTCCTCAAACTCTCCATCTCCTGCAGCCCTGCTTCCCCATCACATCACCTTCCCCAAAGATGCCCACGGGAACAGAGCAGCTGGGGACCAACAGGATAGGGTGGCCTCTTTCACAGGCTAGGGAACCCCGTGCCCACCGTGCTGTGGGCATTATTCAAACTGCCAGGACGAAATTACAGAAATTACAAAACATTCCTGTGAGCCTCGGGCTGTAAAGGGTCTAAGCCAAGAACGCTAATTCCTTGAACAGCAGTGTTCCTTCCAACAATGGGCCCAGGAGGAGCTGTACACGCAGAGCTTTCTGGAGATCATCTTGTCCCCATGAACCTCCTTTACAGCTTCTAAGTGGCTACAGGGCTGGCCTTCTCATGAACAGCTTTGTCCAGCTATGCAGTTCAAGAATGAGGTTACAGAAAATAGAAAAAAAAAAAAATCACGGAGGGAGGGTGCCCCAGAGACAGCCTGGGGCTTAAAACAGTCCATCAGAAAAGTCACCCTGGAAACTCCCCAGAACTGTACTGAGACAGAAGTGTGTCCGAAGCCACAGGACCGGGCTTCCCAAAGTTTCTCCCTGCACCCCCCGTGGGTTCCGAGGTCCGGTCCTCAGGGTGGCTGGGGGGACTCCCAGCATCTGCCCCCTAAAGCTGAGGCGGAGGAGGGGGGAACGGGAGCATCCTCAGTCTAAACACCCACACAGGCAAAGAACACCTCCAAGCTCTAGCCCCTCCTCACAGTCCGACTTCCAGAAAAGCCCCAAACATTTATTCCCTTCAAAACAGGTTCAGCTTGAGTCCTTACCTCCCAGGTGGAGGTTTTCCCTAGGGTTAGGGGAGGCAGTGTCTGCATGCCAGGGAGGAGCCCCGCTCCAGCAGGGGCGGGCAGTAGGAGGCCCCCTCTCCAGCCAACCTGAAGTGGGCGTGGGCTGGGTTAAGTCCCAGGCCGGCTAGAAGTGGTGATTTAACAAGCCTGCAAACCCCAACTGCCCCAAGCCTGCAAAACTACGGTGGTGTCCCCATGCGCTCCAGGAACCGGGCCGCCCCTGCCCTTGCGCCCCAAGCTAGCTGATCCTTAGGGGGCCCGGATCTGCACACTGGTCCCCAGCCGAGTAATCGCCAACACCTCCCCAGGCAGCTGGCCAGGCCTCCCCGCGGGTCTGCGCCCTGGAGCGATTTTCTGGGATCCCTGGCCCGGAAGCCCCGCCTGGCGCAGGGCGCGCACGCAGCCCCGAGGCCGGCCAGGCCTTCAGCCCTAACCGGAGGGCAGCGGCCGCCAGGACCAGGATCGCCGTTCCCGCCCGGGCCTCACCTGCGCCTCACCTGGAGCCCGGCCGCCGGCTCTCGGGGCGCCCAGGAAAGGCGGGCGCGGGA